AATTATAATAATATGTTGTAAAAACAATTGAAATAAACCAGTTTTTTGTTTAAAATTATACAATTTGTAAAAATCAAAACAAAATGTCAAACATTATAATCATACTAAATGGAGCTTTAATTTTTGTGTTTGATTGTTGATATATAGATAAGAAAGTGATTTAAAAGTTATTTTTCCAAATAAACCCCAACTTATTGCTTCTTCTCCACCAATAATGCCTTTATTTATAATTTAATTTTAGAGAGAAATAAAAATATGTAAATAGTTTTCATATAATTATGTTTTATACATGTAATATATGTTTCATGAATTATTTTCTTGTAAGCTTTTTGTTGGCATATTGTAAACAAAACCTCCAATTCATTAATTTTAATAATAATTGATGTTAATAATAAATATTCATAACAATTATACAATATCAAATGAAAATTAATATAAAGTATTTCACACATTATCAAATAAAATAAAGTGTTTCAAATTTGTTATCAATAAATAAAATCAATGAATTATTTTCATTATGAACAGGATTAAAAGGAATAATTTTTAAAAATTAAGGAGAATTTTTACTAAATGGAAGCATTTTCATATTTGTTATGCATTTTTTTGGCCACAACCCACAACACCAAAGGCATTAGAGGACAAATGAACATATTGGTCATTTCACCCTCAACTAAATGTAAAAAGGGAGCACCAGAAGTTTCTAAATTCCTACATGTGATCCATGAAAAAGGAAGTCTGGTCACTGGTCAACCCGGAATGGTAGGAGGGGTAGAACGGTCCAAACAAAATTACAGAGTGGAGACGAACATAGTTCGGAGCCCGAGGCCGCAAGGCACTACCAACTGGCTTCTGGCGGCTGTCGTTAATGGGTCGTTATTAAATTGATGATTACATAACTGATTACAGTGCTTCTTCAGTACCTTTCGGGTAAACAGGAGTTTCCCTTCAGTCAAAAATCAAAATAACATATAAGTAGGAGAGTTATTATTATTATTATTATTTTTTTTATAACTACTTTTTATTTTATGAATATAATAGTTACGGATTGGAAATTTAAAAAGGTGAAAAAAAAAAGAGATTAATGCACCTAAATTGACTTTTTTTATTAATTAAATTATAATTTTTTTAAAAAAAATTAAATTTACGTTTGTTAAAATATATGTTAAATATGTAATTAATACAATTTTAACTATTAATTTATATTAAAAATAAAAAATAATATTAATTTTAATATTAATAACACATATCTTAATTTCATTAGTTAATTGTTAAAATTAAAATCAAATTTTATTTTTTTATATAATTTAATAATTAAAAAATGTATTAATTACTTTTTTAATATATATCCTTAAAATATATATTAGTAAAATTCTATTTTTAAATATTGTAAAATGATTAATTGAAAATTTCATTTTTCTTCCTTTCCTTTTTATTTTTCCCAAACCAATCATAATACAGAGTTTTCTTATTGAATTACATTTTAATAATTATTAGTTATCAAATATTAATGATTAGATATAAATTATTAATTATCAACTATAAATTATATTCAAACAATTAATTTAAACATTTTTTTAACAAATTTTTATTTTAAAAAAAAATCAAAATCTAAACGAAAATAATCATATTTTGCGCGGGAATTAAGATTCAGAATCAGCTTAAAGTCAAAAGCCACGCCATCAAACAAGCCTTTTCCCGTTCGGCTTCTCCATCACTGTGCTGGAAAATCTCACTCAGTCTTCTGAAATACCCCTCCAAAACAAACACAGCACTGTACTCCCCACTTTATGTTTCTTTCTCTCCATCTCTACTCTCACCTGTGCACATTCCACTGCTATCCTCTCCCACAATGAAACCAAACACTGCCAGTGACACCACTAGCAGCAGTGAAACCAACTCTCCAACCACGCCTCCGTCACCGACGCGCCATTCTGCCGTTTCTCACTGCCGCCGCCGCCTCCTCCGTTCCAAGCATCATTCCTTCTCCCGACGCGAGAACATCGGTGCCGGCATCAATCTCCGGCGAAACCTCCGATTCCTTTTGCTACTGCCCCTTTTGTACCTCTCTGGCCTGTTCACTTGTGTCGGTCCATTCACAAGGCTCCTCGGCTACACCCCCCCACCTGGCTCCGTATACCGTAGCCACCAGAATTTTGAGCGGCTGTGGGATGATATCCGCTTTGATAATTCCTCCGCGATCCAGGTCTGCCTCTTGAGGTTTTTTCCTTTTTTTTTATCCTTTCCTTGAAAATGAAGTTTCTGATTCTCTTTTCCAAAGAAATGCTTCGTGTTTGCTGCGTTTGGTCAGGTGGGTTACTTCTACCAAACTTAGATTATCTTTTCTAAGTGTAATATTTTAAGGGGTTTTGCTTTCACGAGGAATTGAGGTTAGTGTTCTCTTCTGGTAGTTTTCAGGGGAAAACGGAAAAACTTGGGGAATCTTGTTTCGGGGTCATCCTGTTTTCTTTCTATTAGTTTCAGAACTTGCTCCTTGGGGGGAACATGTTTATTCTAAATAGGACCTTTTTTTCCTCATTTATCCATCCTATTTTTGTCCTTACTGCTGCCTAACGAGACAAACAAGATAGTGACTTAGAGCTTGTCTAACTTTTCTTTGTTTGTCTCGTTGATTCTATAAACAAACCCATTATAGAATCGCAATTTATTTAAAAATTTCTGTAATGAACTGGGATGGATAATAGCTTTCTTGCTGCAGTTGTCTTCTGTCTGGAAATACAATAGGAGGCTGAAAGTGCAGAAACCGTGCCCAAATTCAACTGCTTTATATCATTTCTCCGTTCATAAAGGTAGAATAAGCTGCATTTCCCTGTCACCATGGCTATTTTGTATTTTTAATTTGAGTAAATGATGATGCTTTGGCATGTCACTGCGACCTGCGATAAAGTTACGTGTTTGGGAAGTTGCTAAGCTGAAGGTTGGGGTGGCAATTATAATATTCAAAAGTTGCATATCAGTAAATTAATGTCTTTTTCTTTGTTAATGCTTATTTTCTAGTTTATTATCATTTAGAAGATGAACCACTGCACCCCAACCTTGCAGATGCCTTTTTATTTGGTCATTCTCTTAGGACTTCTTTATGTTGTAATGCTTGGAGTGTGCTGGAATTGGCATGATAATATGATGTTTTTAACGAATTTCAGAGTCCCCTGATCTGAGTGGCTACTTGATCGTTGAGGCAAATGGTGGTCTTAACCAACAACGTGCTGCGGTATGCTAATGTTCTGTTATGAGTATTAGCTTTCTGCATCTCAATTCTCACGTTTTTGGAAAATTAACAGGTCCACCAGATCATTGCAATTAGATGCACTGATTATCACATATTTGTTTGGTTACATGTACACAGGTTTTATTTTTTCACAATTTTTTTTTGTTAGATATGCAATGCAGTGGCTGTAGCTGGACTCTTAAATGCAATATTAGTCATTCCTTGGTTTGAGTTCAACAGTGTTTGGAAGGATCCCAGGCAAGTATGCTAATTTGAATGAACAAGTACTTCCACGGTCTCCAGTTATAAAAGGATGTTGAGAAAATTGTCTGATAGATTCCATGCAACTTGATGCTAAAGTTTGTGGTTTCTCTCTCCATACTCTTTAAAGATACATAACTTCCATCTCTTTTTCAGTGACTTTGGAGATCTGTATGATGAGGACCACTTCATATCCAGCCTTAAAGGTTATGTCAATGTGGTTAAGGAGCTACCCGACACATTGATGGAAAGATATGATTATAACATTACCAATATACCAAATTTCCGTGTCCAAGCATGGGCACCAGTTAATTACTATTTGGGAGTTGTTTATCCAGTTTTGAGAGATCAAGGGTATGTGCTGAAGATTATTCTGCTCCAAACTGAATTTTCTCTCTATCCTTGCTGAAATGGTTACTTGCATTGCAAAGTATCAAGTTTATTAGCAACCAAACTTGACATGGATTATTTAGTAATAACTAAGTTACAACATTCTTTTTAGTTTATGTTAGTTATAATGTTATATAGAAACCATTATTTAACCAAATGTGTCATAGTATATACTTCTCTTGTCAGCTCTGATGGCTACAAGTTTGATGCAGGGTTATCCGCATAGCGCCCTTTGCTAATAGATTGGCAATGAATGTCCCGCCTTCTATTCAGTTACTTAGGTGCATAGCAAATTATAAAGCATTAAGGTTCTCTTCACCTATCTCAGCACTTGCAGAGAAACTAATTGATAGGATAATTGAAAGGAGTTCAAGGACTGCAGGAAAGTATGTTTCTGTCCACCTCCGCTTTGAGGAGGTATGGTTCTTATTTTCATCTTAATATATTCTGATATATGTTCATTATTATTATCTTTATTTTTTTTTTTATTTTTAGGACATGGTGGCCTTCTCATGTTGTGTGTATGATGGAGGGGAGGCTGAAAGCATTGAATTGGACTATTTTCGAGAAAATGGCTGGAAGGGAAAGTTTAAACGAAAGGGCCGTGTAATTGCACCTTCTATCAATCGGATCAATGGAAAATGTCCTCTAACTCCTGTGGAGGTGCCTGATAATAAATACTATTTCTTTTGCTTCTTTAAACTTGTTAAACTTTCTTTATAGTTTATATTTTGCACTCAGTTCTTTTTGAGCCATTGGCTAATTGGCCCACCCCATTTAAAATGTAAAATATAGTGATTTACTTAAGTCTCAGAACAAATCTCTATATTTTAGCTATTCTCTCATAACATCTTTATGTAGTAAATTGTTTCACGGTGCAACAAGGACGAGATCAGTTTGAAACAAGCTGGCCTAAAAGTATAGAGAATTATGGTGGTAATTGAAGTAAAATAGCTCTGTTGGGATTTGGTTTCATAAAAGAACCCATTTTGCCAACCTAAATATCAGAATCCAGCTTTGCTAGGTCATATATGCTTCCAAAATCTTTGATGTAGTTTATGTTATTAGACTTGGATCATATCCTTCTCTCTTGAGTATTTCATTATGTCATAATGGAAATGGCTCAAGAGACGGATCTTTTAAAATTTCAAGTGTTTCATTCATGTGTTGTAATCTTCGTATGCAATACGGAGTGCTTACTGCTTACTACATAGACAACATATCATATTCATCATAAACATGTACTTTACATATATCTTGTCATTTCTGTATGTCACTTGTCTTATTTGGCAAATAATAACTCTTCTTTCTGCACAATGTTTTCCCTGTCAGCATAGGTTGGATTGATGCTACGTGGTATGGGATTTGACAACAACACCTCAATATATTTAGCCTCAGGGAAAATTTACCAAGCAGAGAAACATCTGGTTCCTTTGAAGAAGATGTTCCCACTACTTTATACTAAGGAGTCTCTTGCAACACTTGAAGAGCTTGCTCCTTTTGAGGTAAGCATCAAAAGCATTTGTTAGATAAAGACACGGGCTATATTTGACATCTCAGTACTGCTCTTTTTCCCAATAATTGAACTTAGATACTAGTTGATTATCTTTTAATCAAACTGGTAAATGATATTGCATAAGTGATTTGAATAAGGTTCTTTGGGGTATGTCCTCTTTGCAGTTTGCATAGCCTTCTGATCCTATCAAATTTTATGCATTTGGCCCTCTGGTCTGGTTAACCATGCAAACGAGTCAATGAATTATCCCAAACACAAGTTTGGGTTAAGCTCTTAAAAATTTTTATTTTTGTGTTCTCTCAGCCCATTTTCTAAGCCCTCTAAACCTTCACAGCATCTCTTAAATGTCCATTGTCTCTTTTGGTAGGGGTATTCTTCAAGGCTTGCAGCTATAGACTATGCAGTAAGCTTGTTCAGTGAGGCTTTTGTAACAACTCAGGGTGGAAACTTCCCACATTTTTTGATGGGCCACCGGAGATTCCTTTTCAGACATGCAAAGACTATTATCCCTGATAAACGCAAGCTTGTGGTACTACTAGAAGACATGACCATCAGGTATTCTCCTTTCCACTTCTGGAGTAGTAGAAGTTAATTTATATAACTCTCTGTTGGAATATTTCCAAAAGACTGCTAATGTTAAAGGTACTTGGACTTAACTTGATGGTAAGAAGTCATCATTTTCAATCTGTATGATATACATGCAATTCTGGGATTCAAGAAACCTAACTTGTAAGTATTTCTTCAAAGTCACTGACATTGATGTATAATTTCTCTTTTAACTGGCTTTGCAGTTGGAAAGCTTTCAAAAATCAGATGGAAGTGATGCTAACTGAAAGTGACCGCAAGGGGATGACAGTGCCTAGAATTAAAAAAATCAACAGAAAAACGTCCATATATGCATATCCTTTACCAGAATGTTCATGCCTACAGCAATTCCATAATTCAACCCCCAAATTGACAGCGTGACTGTGTTCCTGATAGCCACTTTGAGTTGACAAGATGAGATTGAAATTCCCTGTTTCAATAGCTTCGGTTACCAAGGCAATCACAGTTCATATATATACTTACAAATTACAAGCACTGTGTCCCAGCTTTTACCCTTGTGTTTGTAGTGGGGCTGGCAAAGTTTTCCCAGATTTCAACAGGGCAACAATTTCTTCTCCTGCGACACTCTTTTGGTTATCATATGGGGTTTTAGAGCTCATAGGTGCGTGTTTAATGTTGAAGAGTTGGTTTGGAGCGCAAGCTGCACACCAGTTTGGATTTGTCATGAAGCAGCAAGTGGTTGATGTTTGTTTTAGTGAGATATTCAACTAAGTTCAGCTGCAATGGTGACATTCATTGACTTTGAACACATAAGTCATGGTGACATGATTCTTTTTGTTTTTCTGTAGTATAGTTTGGATATGAACCATTAAATGAGACCGACTCCACAACTTCTGGGGTGTCGAGTTCACACTATTTCTTGTCCAATGGTCGTCTACTACCGGTTTTATGGTCCAAATTTATGAGAAAGTCTTATAAAACTGTTTGCCGCTGCAAAATGCATACATTATACCTTTTTCCAATGCAAATAAAGAAGTCTTCTTCTTTTCATCTCTTTCCTCCTTCATTTTTTTTTTTAAAGAAAAAAAAACCGGCCTATTATTAAAGAAAACTCTCTTTTTTCCAAACCAAACAACCTCTCCTTGAAGAAATCGAACTTGTTAAACAAGGTGGACTGTGGAAGCAACTTTCATGAGTTATGGTTGTTGTTAGGATTATTAAAATTAATTTATAGATATATATTTATAAATATAATAATTAATTATTTTTAAAATATATAAATTAATAAAATTTATAAATAAAATTGATAATCTTAACAAAAATTAACAGTAATTATAATCTCTTAACTTAAATGACAAAAATTACTCTTAATACTTTTGAGTTTGAATACATCTATTAAAAAAATAACTTTGTCAAATTTGTTTCAATTATTTTAATCCACAATGTAAAAAAATATATTACTAAATTGCACAACACTTAACATTAACATTACAAGAATGAATTACTAATGTTAAGATCGGCCAAATCCAATCGTCTCTATTTTTAAAAAATAATAATAAAGAGGAAAAAAAAAAAAAGGAGAAACAAACATGGGAAAACAAAAATCCAGATTGGAATGACAAAAGTACTCTTCATACATACTCTCTGTTTCAATGTATTAAAATGAAAGGACAATTTTGTCAATTTTGCTCCAATTTTTTTAAATCCATTGTAAAAATTTTTTTTTAAAAAAAGAACACCTGACCATACAACCCTTGCCATTAGATTAGATCTGTGAATCCTTTATATTGAGGACGGCCGCATCCAATGGTCTCAAATTCTGCAGTCCAGACTGCAAAAAAAAAAAAAAAAAAAAAAA